GTTCCCATTACGAACACTATGTTCACGAAACACGTACTATCCGAAGAATGCCCGTCTTGAGTAATTCTTGTGCAAAACCGTACACACGTAAGAATCGCGAAACAGGTCGATAAGCTTGATTGTCGCGGGGCGTTCGTAAATATCACCGTGATAAATTCGGTCCCGGCTTAACGGGATCCAATAACGACTTACTTTCCGAACGCGGAGAATTCCGAACGGGAGTAAACAACACAGTAGTAGAAGAGAAAATCGGAAAACCCGAAAAAAATAAAAAAGAACGAAAGAAAAAGACAAGAGAAACGGGAAGTTAAATTCCGTGTTCAGAATTCGTGTCACTCGTGAAGCACAAAGCATGCGGCATTTGGAATGACGTACAAAATTACGTGGCTTGTGGCATGCGTTTGTGTACGCTGATGCATGAGCGCGCGCTCGCTCGCGTATGTATATGTAAAATACACGCAACGCGTGTATATATTTCGACCAGACTACTGTACCCCCCCCCCTCCCCCCAAAATCCCGCACCACCACTGCATGCCGAGGCACGAGAGAAACGTTTTTTCTTCGCTTTTCCATATCTACTTATACACTTTCCACTTATCGTCTTATACCTAAACTTTGCTACGACCACCACGACATCCCTCCCCCCGTTAATCTGTTAATGTTGCCACAACCTTTCTCTCTCCATCGTATTCAACGGCCACCACTCGAAATTTTCCTGGCCCCTCTCCACTCTCCACGCCATAACCCACTCCTCCCGAAACCCCCCAGTACCCACTGTAATGCTTAACGTTTCCCCAGTCTAAGACATCTTTATTGAAACGTTCTCGACGGTATATATATATATGTATACATACAGGATGTCCCAAAATAGCTTCGACTCCCGGAAATGAGAGGTTCCTGGGATGATTTGAAACAACTTTTTCCTTTGAAGAAATGTTATCCGACGCTTTGTTAACGAGATATTAACGAAAAACCCCAACCAATCAGAGCGAGAGTCTACCGGCAGAGCTCTCGTGGTAGCGTTGGGTACACACCGCGCATGTATCACGCAGTTCCGAACAAGCAAGTCGGCATGCATCGCAGGAAACTGCGTATACTAGTAATTAAAAAAGACGTAACAAACAAAATCATACTTTTTATCATCTGTCGTTTGTCATTTGAAGAAATTAATGAATTAGGCATAAATGGAGGAAAATTATGTGTAACGTAAAAAGACGAAAGAACATCTACTTATTTAAACAGAATGGAAAGTAATAATGATTTAAACACAGATGCTACGGAATTTGTAAATTACCTTTTCAAACAACGTATGAACGAAAAGTTAATCTAACAAAGAATTAACGAAAAGTGATCGTAGTTCGGTATTGATAATGAATAAGTTTCTTCAAAAGCCCGAAGAAACATTTACGTACAGAAACTTGCAGGATTATCGCTGGAAATAAGTCAGCTTATATATCAGCTTATAAGTCAGCTTAATAAGTAAGCAAGCGCGGTGCGTAGCCATCGCTACCGCAGGAGCTCCGCCGGCAGACTCGCGCGCTGATTGGCCGGGGTTTTTCGTTAATATCTTGTTAACAAAGCCTCAGATTACATTTTCGCTAAGGAAAAAGTTGTTCCAAATCACCCCCCGAGTGTCCCATTTCCGAGTCGAGCAACATTTTTGTTACACTCTGTATACTATGTGCATATATATACAGGGTGTGCCGTAACTAGTGGTACAATTAGACAGGGGGTGGTTCTACGCGAAAAAATAAGTCGAAAATATGGAATAATATTATTTTATTGCAGACTTCCTTTTCGTGGAAATCGAGCGTGAAGATTCATCTGTAACGTGTGTATTCGTGCTGACAATATGTAGTAACGGAATGCAATGAACAAACGCAGCAGTCCTATTCAATTGCACGCGTATACATCCGATTTTCAAACTTTTTTTTTCTCGAAAACAAAGCTTCTTATGAAAAATGTTATTCTACATTTACGATTCAATTTTCCACGTAGAAACACCCCCCGCTCGCTTGTACCGCCAGTCACGGGACATTTTGTATATACAACGCGCCAGAACGTACGACGATCGTCGGCGAAAAAAGAAAAGAAAAACGAGTATTGCCTCGCTACCAAAGTTCCCCGCGGAACGCTCTCGAGATAGTTTTTGCGGGGAACAGGACCACCACCACCCTCGTTCCCGCCGTCTCCCGCAGAATCGCGACGATTAATTGCCGCAATCTGTTTGACGGTCTCTCTTTTTCTCTGCTGTGTTTCTTTTTCTTCTTTTTTAGGACCGAAATGTTCGCTGTCTTTTGCGCGAAAGTTCGATACAGATGGCGGGGGTTTTAGATTGTCTTTGTTCGCTGATTCGGGGGGGGGGGCGATTATTTGTTTTTGTCCCTGACTGTATATACGTGCAGTCTTTCTTTCTTTCATTCACGCATGATTCCAAAAGATATAATAAACATTATTGTGGATAAATGTTCACTAGGAAATTCCCACAGAAAAAAAAGATATCTCACCAATTGTCTACCATTAATATTTATACATACATATATTTTACATGAACACAGCTGAAAAGTGAAAAAAAATTATTTTTTCCGGTATTACTAAATTTGTCCTTGAAGCGAAAGAAATTTGATTGGAACACACGGCATCTCATATACAACACCATATAAAGTAAAAACAGTTTATACTTTTATGAATTGAAGCAGTAATTCTGCGTAACGACTGGTAATTATAAAAATTCAGGTATATTGGAGTTTCCAATATTTTTTAATCCACTTAAAGAAAAACCAGAAAACAAACGAATTATTTCGATCAAAAGACAGTAATACCACGTTGGGAAACAAAAATCGGGGACAAAGACACAAATCACCTGCATCTGCATTGAACCGCCAGAATTTCCAAAGTCACGATACCATCAGAATTGCGGGTTCGACATTAAAAAAAAAAAAACAACGGAAGATACAGATCCGGCGCATGGACCGTAAAACAATGAAAACCGTCGGTTTGTTCAGGAATCGGCAGTAACGCAGAGTAGCGGACATTGTACAGATAAATCTGTCGGGTGTGGGTTGAAGCATTTCGCCTCCCTCCGGGTCGTGGAATTACGGGCGGTGACGGCATTTTCCAGGCCAAAAATGAGAAAACGGAACGGCGGCGGCGGGCAGCGATAGTATTTCCGTGTTCCAAAAACAACAGCAGTTAATCTCGAATGCTCGTTCGCGCGGGATCGCTTAATCCACGTTTCGCCGATGTTCGCGTAATGTGGCCGGCACCGCGATGGAATGCCACTTTGGTGCCTGGAATGCGGTGTAACGATCGTAATCACCTAAGATTCAATTACGGCGGAATGTTTCTTGGAAAGGGTGGGGGGGCGGTATGTGGGAAGGCGCGCGCGCTCGTAGCCGCGGACGAGGAATTAGGAACATAAATAGGTGTAAATTCCGATCGATCGCGGAAAATTCGACATCGAAACGCGAAGTTGCTACTCGAACCGGAAAACTTGTCTCCGCCGATTGAGATCGATACAGGAGCCAAACTTATACTACGCGCTAATGAGGTCTAGTAGGTAAAATATGTTTATATAAACTTATGCCCGAAAATGTTTTATTAAAAGTTAAAAGCATTTAAAGGTTTCTATCAATTGTTATGCCAACTATTATAAATATTCGAAAACCTATACATCTGTACACCATTCGATACATTTTTTAATTCGCTACAAAAAAATGTTAAGGTACTTGATTCGAGAAATGATTAGTTCAAGAGTAAAATTAGTAAAACTAGTAAAACTAGTAAGCAGGAACGGAAATATAGAGAACTAACGTTCTCCGTAGGTCCAATTACAGTAAAGTCGCTTTAACTGCGCGGTAAGGTTTGCGTACAAATTACACTGGCGGCTGCCCCTTCGTATTACGTTGTATTTACAAAAGCGAGCTGCCGAAGCTTGACGCAAAATTTACAAGAGGTTGAAATCGTGACCGTTCGCGCTTACTGCGCGCATGCAGTCCCGAGTTTCGCGCAGTTAAGGCGACGTTACTATATTACGCACTACTGAGAAACTGAAATTAAAATACCATAAACTAATGTTTATGGAAAATTTTAGGACACAAGTGCCTTCATACTTTTTTATAGCGAATAAAAGAATGTATCGAATGATGTATAAAGAAAATGCATAGTTTTTCGAACAGTTATTATAACTGCCATAACAATGGATACAAATTTAGGAACGCTTATAACTTTTCAATAACTACACAAGTTTAACTCGTAGTACAAGTTTGGCCCGATTTGTTTGGACACCCTGTAAATTTGTTCCTACTAAAATTCAGGAATCGGGGAAAAACGAAACGCTTCCGATAGCGGTAATAATTAATTTCCGTGGCCTCGATCCTCAGCGGCATATCGCGCGCGCCAAGTTTCGCGAAGGACTTATGGACGCGTGACGAGCGAAATAATCGAACGATAACGTATCGACGGTAGAACGACCATCGACTCGAGATGTCAAGAGACTCGAAGGGAGTCCGACAATGGCTTCTTGTCACGCGTCCATATAGAATAATCTAAACGCTACACACGCGCAACTAGACGGAGTGCTATCGAGTTCGATCGAGTCAACATCGGCTAAACGTGATTTTTCGTCGCCACGGTTAGCGACCGATTACAAACCCTTCGCTCATATACGCAAACGGTTTTTGCAGCTGCGAAAAAGGCACCCTACACCTACGCCATTGTACATAGAATAGTAATTGCAAGACCAGAATCCTCTCCTCAGTTTTCAGTGTACACTTAGCGGAGAGGGAATGGCCCGGCTTAGGGTGGCCCAGTGGAATATTTGCTTCTGTCTACAATTTCAATCCGTTCCAACACCACCCGCATACCCTTTTTATTCCACTTCTCGTACCTTTTTACCCCGTTTTATCATTGAAATGTACCCCAATCCGAAAACACAAAACTTGAGTGTCTAATTATTGTATGTTAGAGCGAAGATATTTGTGTTCTTGTTCTCCCGGCAGTTGGATACACAATGCGCGATATTCGGTACAAATGGAACGCCGGCCTACAGTCGGTCGGCATCTCGAACGAGGTGGAACTCCCGCAGTTTCGCGTGCTCGGTCACAGGCAACGACATTCAACCATACACCTATCTACAGGTAGATATCCCCCTCTTATTAGTTCTTCCATCTGAATCATCGTCCGAAGGCTCGCGCGATCAGATGTTCAGATGATCAACATGTATTTGTCACCTTGTGTTCACCGCGCGTGTATACGCTGTAAACACAGCTACCTGTGTTGTGGATCATACCACTTTTTTCTTTCCTGTTTGTTTTAAACGATTTTTCTGTTTGTTTGGATCTTCTATTTTTCTATTTCGTTTTATTTCTATATTTTTCCTTCTTTTCGACTCGCACCTCATGCACCTGTATCACAGTGTTGTTGCCCTGCCTGGCGAATACTTTCGATGATTCCCGATCGAAAGACGAGCTTGAAAAACCACTCGAATGAAATCCGTCCCCGGAGGGCTAGAATTTATTCGACCAATAATCGACCGATCGATTTCATCGATTTATAATCTACGAAACAAAGGACGAAGGCGTTACTCCCCTGAGTCATATGGGAATCCATAGCATCCCAATGTAGTCCTTTATCACGGTCCAAGGACGACGACGTACTATTTCCAGGCTGTATCGTTGATCTCTTAACGAATAATCCCCGCTTTCTCGAACGTTCCTCCGAGTGTGCCGCGATTATACATCGATAGGGGGGTCACAAGCCTCGGAACTGGTACGGAGTCAGCCTCGTGGACTCCCACCATCCACAACATCAGATCAAACCGACACGAGGGGCTCTCAGTGAAACGTATAATCCATCGGCCTCGAACATAAATAAACGGTCGTCCACGAGATCACCAGACCTAAAACAGAGGTAGGTCTATATGCGAATATAATCCGCTTACACGTCGCTCTGACGTTCGATCTCGTACCCTTTGAGGGATTATAAATGCGACAATTTATCTCGCGATGAAGACGATGAATCGAGAGAATAGAAACACAATATGAGAGTAGTGAAAGTGACACAAATGTGAAATCGAACGAAAAATGGAAAGAAAGAGAGTAAAATGAATCGATAGAGGGTGTGTGTGTGAGAGAGAGAGAGGGAGAGAGTGCGGACGTATTCGGGTGTTTTTTAAACGGGGTGCGAGGTAAGTGGAGGCCCCCTCGGAGCTGATACGCGATTTGAGGGCTTCCGCGAAGGTACGTACCAACCGCGGGGGGTCTCTCTATTTTTTCAGTCGGATACACGATGAGGGACATCCGGTACAAGTGGAACGAGGGCCCGAACAGCGTCGGTGTCAGCAACGAAGTCTCCCTCCCTCAGTTCAAGGTCCTCAACAAAATAATATTGAACCCTCGCTTTTAACGGGTATGGGTAAGGTGGAGAGACACGTGAGCGCTATCCGATGTCCCCGCAGTCGCGATGTTGCTCGTAAGGACGTTACTACCGTTCTGGTAATCGTCGATCGATCGATCAAGTATCTCTCTCTTTCTCGCGATCCCGTAGTCTGCGCGGATGTACGAGCCTGGTGGATGTTTCCGAGCGATTAGGCACGATGTCGATTCATCCCGTGTACGCTGATCCTTGCTAAAACGCTTACGGTAACCAACCGGTGTGTGACTATTATCGTCGATTGTGTGGTAGCGTCTTCGTGTCACACAGATCTCCGTCATTGTATCTTCATATTTGTTTGACCATTTGCAAAATAAATATTAGATAAATCTGTAGGTATAGCACCTTCTCAAACTATAGGGATTTTAAGTGTGACCCACAGTTGGTGTGCTTATGCTATACCCATCGAGGTCACAAGATGTGTCCTTTGCTACTTCTTCAGGGCCGTACTTAGTTGGTCCCATTTACTTTCTTTGACTACACGACTGAAATACTTTTCGACTCTTCAAATTTAGAATATTTGTTTTTCATAGAATATGAAACTATTTAAGAAATTTACTAGCTTCGTAGGATTTAATATTTGTCTGTCCGTTTTGGTACACGTTTATCTCTAGGCCGCCAACAACCACTGCCTGAAAATTACGTTGGCCATTACTTAGCGCTTGACTATGCGCCTTATGATACGTCTAATTTAGAGATCATCCAACGTTTTCCAAAAATTCACCAAGCTGTTGAAGATAACAACTTCCACAGCCTGACGTGAAATCCTGTGTATACAATTGTTCTCACTGGTCAGATTATTTGTCTCGTTAACTTTCAATTGTACTATAGGTACTTGTACTGTAAGTTCAGATGCGAAGACTTAAATCATCTAGTTTGGAATTCGAGGACATTAATAGTATCATTAGAATACACTGTGTTTCTGGTGTCTACAACTAAGTGGTTAGATATTTTTTTTCTGTTAATCCTACAGCCTATGTTGCAGTGAAATTCTACGATACCTTATAACGAGTAAAACTGAACGTCATTTTCACTGCGTCTACAATGGCCGCCGTTGATTCGTGAAAGGAGGATGGAGGGGAGCTATTTAGGCCTAGCCTACTCTAAATATAGACAGAGCTGCTGACCGTGTGTTTACACTCTGAATGGGAGAAGCCTAAATTGCTCCACCAACAGGAATCACTGGTGAATAGTATACCTATAACTCGCGGAGCATGATCCGAGAGCCCAAAGCTTCTGTAATCCTCAGGCGAGAAATTGGACTTGTAAGAAGGAGTGATACCTGAAACTCGAGCTTCCGAGGGCCGGAGAAGCTGAAATGTAGAGCACGGCAGGGG